CACAAGAATTGATACTAAAAGATTGACAATTCATTCAGCCTTCTGGTTCATTGCTTGAAGATCAGAAATGTTGGACAGGTAAGTCCAGCTAGCTAGTTTAACATGACATAAAAATTACATTTTTTTCTTTTTTATTTTGTTTTAATCATTCTTGTTCATATATAAAACAATAAGGGCCTCTTTAGTTAGAAAGTCAATTTTAACATGAAAGTTTTTATTATAAAAGTCGTTATGAAATTATTGTAAAAAAAGTTAATAAGTATTGTGTGAAAAATTGATAAATTTTGTAGTGAAGTTTTGTTAGAATTTTATTGAGTTGTTAACTTTCCTTTCGATTGTATATAATTGCCAAGTTTGTAGCTTTGTGGTTGGTTGTTGGGAGATCAGAAATGTTTGGAGTTAAGTCCATTTAGATAGCTTAAAATAACAAAAATTAAGAATATTTCAACTATATATATATATATTTACTCACAATTAATCTTTTCACTAGAATTGTCTATAATTTGCTTGATTAAGTGCAGTCTGGGTTGCCATTGCCATTGAGCAAGCTATAGTTCTTGTGCAGGATCTCCCACCACCAACATTTTGAGAGCATTTTGGGCTCCCTTACTAATTACTCACAATCATCTAGGAATGTTTCCTAGACATTGTCTAATCTTTGTTGTGGCTGCACTAATTGTGGTTTTTATATTATGCTATGGTTAGAAACTATGCTATAAAGTGTTTAATATTTTTTTCCATAAAAAATTATTTATTTTTTAAGTGTTGTATGTTTATAAAAGAGTTTTCAATTTTATTTTTTTCCATAAAAATATTTACATTTTTAAAATTGTTGCATATTTATAAAAGAGTTTTCGATTTAATTTGTAATTTAAATTACATCATATTGCAAGTTAGGAATTACTAGATAAAGAGATAATTCTCAATATTAAGAGCACACTCTCATTAGATGGTTAGTTTTATGCAGGTTAAATAACACAAAATATTTGTGTTTATATAATTACCAAAATATAGGAGTTCAAAATGTCATTTTTAATAATGTAATCTGAAAAGGGGAAAAAAAAAAGGTGCTTAGAATTTAATTCCAATTCCAAATGCATCTAGTCTTTTAAGAAGGTTTAATTTACTTTGATTTAGAATGCAAAGATCGGAAGCAAAGAAAGTATATATAATACATATTTTAACTTTAACTTAATCGTAAGTACGGAATTGATCCCAATAATTATGCATAGAACTAGAATATGATCATTAAATTACAAAATTTTAGTGTAGTTAAGCCATTTTATATAATAATATTTTTATATAATTAATTAAATTAATTTAAGATTCAAAGTGTACTCACATGTTGTTAACTGTTTTTGCAATTAGGATTCAACCAAATTTGATTGCTCTTGAAATTAGAAGCAGAATCCATTTCTATAATTAGACACAAGAATAAAAATATTAATATATGCATTAAGGAGATTCAAAAATTTTTCAAAAACATTACTAACAATGAAATTAAAAATTCACTTACTTTATATGTATACGTACATTTATATTTTAATATGAGTTAGATATACAAATCAAATATATAGGTCTGGACTCTCATACCAAGTACTTGACCTAATACTTGATAGATATACATTTTTCACACCCGATATTTAAAAATTTCTTTCCAAGTATAAGTAAAATACTCAATACTCATCCCTACATATAACCCATTCAAGTCAAATCTCATGAAAGTCTAGCAAAAACTCAAATGGACCGGATTATAACTAAAAAAAGAGTAGGGATATATAAGACTAAAATGAGAGGCAGAAATTTAGAGCCAACCACATGCCATAAGTTAACTTATTAAATGAGTTTATTTATATCATATTACAAGTCTTAATATAGTGAAAATACTAATAATAAAATAATAAAAATTTATTTTTTTAATATTTTAAATAAAATGACTTATGTAATATTATTAGTTTTAAAATTTTGTTCTGTCTGTCATTGTTCAACATCAAATAATCTATGAGAAAGAACCTATACCTATAGGTGCCCATTATTGGCGCCCAAAATTGCCTGTAATAAAAAAGGTTGTGAAAGCAATGTTACAACCTTTCAATAGGATTAAATGCGCTAAGAATTTTTGAGTTAAAACAAATTAGTATTTGGTAAAAATTTAATGTAAATTATTTATTTAAAGTTTTATTTTAAAAAAATTAACTCAAATTTAATATTTTTTTTGACAAAGATAATAATTAATAATTAAATTTAAAATTATTAATAACTAGAGAGTCAATTATCAGCACCTCCCTTGAGAGGTGCAACGCATCTAACTGGTAGAGTTCTCAAATTTAATAATTTCGACGTCAACTTTCTATGAGATATTTTAAACCCACTTTTGCTCTTTACACCATTCCCAATAAGTAATGCTCCGTTTGTTGACTTTGTTTCCCTGTAATGCACGTTTTAGGTTTTTCCTCTTTTTTTTTTTTTAATTGAGATGGTTATAGGTATTTTTCTTTTGTCATTTTTAATTTTTAATACAACATTAATTATAGGAAAGCAGGTGAAGCACCTACCTAAATTATTGATATAAGAACGTTTCGAATCCTCATTCCCCCATCCTCTCCATCCTTCTTTCTCATGAAAGTTTCAAATGATTAGCTTGTCCTATCTGTTTGGGCAGCTTCCTAGTCCAACACTGTTGAATTCCTCTACTGCTTTTACACCTGAAAATCCCGAGGATGTTTCCTCGGGGAAAACACTCCGACGCTCAAGTCAGCAATACTCGATATTCTAGAGAGATATGCTCTCAATAGAGTAATTGCAGAGAGAGAAGCATAGAGATTAATTACCTTGCACGAAGGTAGTTGGGGGTATTTATAGCCCCGCGTACTGACACGAGCCTGCATGTGCATGCGTCCCATTGGACCACGTGTCACTGCCCACGTGGGGGTGTCTCCATGGCTTGGATCCTGAGGATACATGAGTGGGTCCATTGATCCAAATTAAATGTTGGGCTTCACACTATGGAAGTGTTATTGGGACTGTAGGGCGTGGCCCAAGTTGAATGTTGGGCCCAATCCCAACATTACTCCCCCCTCAGCGTTTGGTTGACGAACTGGGGTGAAGGTTCCGCTAGCCCAACATTTTATGTGAAAGGTGCGTTCAATGAGCTCACAAAGGAACACTTCCTTCCTATTGAATGCGTGTAGGAGAATTGGTACGGGTTCAGTGTTAATTAACAAGCACAATGAACTCGTAAAGGTAGACTCACACAACAAGTTTGAGATGAGCAAAGATTCTTTGCCATGTGCGTGTCGCCCATAAGATATACTGTGTTACGTTACGAGCTCGCCTATATCCGCACGCAGGCGAGTAGGCGGGGGACAAGGTGAGCCATTAATCCTTGCAAGACTGTGTTCGTTGAGGTCGTCATGTTATTAGGAAGATTCGCCTATATCCGCACGCAAGCGAGCAGGCGGGGGACGAGGTGAGCCATTAATCCTTGTAAGACTGTGTTCGCTGAGGTCGTCTTGTTATTAGGAAGATAAATTGAAGGAATTGGTCTAGTATGCTTTGACGTTCAAGATTGAGTACGACTTGACTTCGGGTATTTGGACATATCTAGGCGTAATATTTGTGACGACTTGAATTTTGATATCTGGAAATATTTAGTTGTGAGATTTGTGACGACCTGATTCTTGTCATTTTTTGATGATGACCTGATTCTTGTCATTTTTTGAAATTTAAATTTAAATTTATGAAATCTCTGAAGAGATACGGTTTAGGGCGGTTAGTATTCCCCATCCCCCCCTAATAAATGCTGGCTCAGCTTTTGAAGAGACGTGACAGCTAAAGTCGGCGGACGTTACACGCCAAGCAATAGGTAAATGCCACGCGTAAAATTTTTATTGGTTGGCAGAGAGGCGTGTACAGTCATGATGGGCACGGTCGCTTAACCCCTCTATCACCTCTGCTTCCATATTCCAGTTCCATATTCTCTGTATTCTTCTGCAACAAAGGACTTCCAACGTTTTCAAGCTACCTTCTCAGAGAATTCCACAGTCAATTTTTCAAGTAATAACAAATGGAATTTGTTAGAGAAGTTGAAGAACTCCGGGGTAACCAGGGTAGGGAAGGGGAAGAAAGCGTGATATCCGTAGAACTAATTACGATGATTGTACCTCCGGAACTGCAAGACCGGCCGGAATCCCTTACACCAGAGAGTAGCGCCAGTTCCAGCGTGCACGAGGGTTCCAGTGCGAATCCCTCTCCGTCATCTGGAGGCTCGTCATCAAAAAAGACCCCCAGTGCCGGAGAAGGCACAGAGGAAGGTGTAAGTAGCCCTTCGCCGGAAAGTATGGAGGTGGCTGTGGATGCGCCCGTGGTTGCAGGTTGGGAGAATAAAACAATAAACAGCAGGCTAGGTAATCTTCGCAAGGCGCCACATACATTGGCTGTCAGATTTAGGTTTATGGCCAACCTGCATCACGAGGTTGCGGATTGCGCCGCCTCCATTAAAGGGTACAAAAGATTGGAGGAAGTGGTGAGGCAATACCATGTTCCTAGGATAGTTTTGGTACGAACTGGCACCAAGAATGAAAGGGCCTACAGTGTGTCAGCAACAGGGTGGATACCCGTATATGTAGACCACTTCGATGCCGGACTGAGATTCCCACTGCTGGAGCTGATTTTTGACATTCTCTCAGAGTACGAGTTGGCGCTGACGCAGTTGACCCCCAACAGCATCAAGTTTATCATAGGATTTATGCTGTTGTGTGCAAGGTTGGAGATACCTGCAAAGGCCACACAGACGAGGTGGTACTACATCTCTGGGAGAGAAAAAATGGCGATCTTTACGAACGTGAGAAATAAGGTGTCTCGATGGAAGAGCAGTTTATTTTTGTCCGGGATACGCGAACAGAGAGGGTTAGCAACGATCTGGCAGCCCGCCTCTCTGAGTGGCACCTAGGGAACACATACATGAACTACCCCACGCTAACCCAAGGTGATCTGGAGCTTAAGGACAAGATAACGAATTATGTGAGGAGAGTGGGGTTAATTGATTTGGAAGCCCTGGTTACCCCTAAGGTGCTCGCTTTGCGTGGGTTTGTGGATGTTACAAACCTGTTTAGTGAAGGTACACTTCTATTGTAAATTACTGTTTTTCACGAGCTACGTCTTATTGCATGTGTTTGTGCAGGAGAGATAAGTAGCATGCTAGAGAGGCAACGCGAACGAGCTCAGCGCTCACGAGCTAGAGGGACTGGGTCCAGCACGCAAAGGCAAACACGCTTTGACGAGCGACCGCCTATAGCACCTCGCAGCTCGTCACAGAGAGAGCGAGGCTCCAGCTCGGCCTCACGGCCACAAGCCGAGTGTAGAGCAGAAACCATATCTGTTGAGACCCGGAGGTGCGCTCGTGAAGATTCCGATGCCGAAGATGATGTACCTTTGATTCGGTGCCGGTTGAACTCTAGGAGCCAATCCGAAGCGGTGCGCTCACTTGACGCACCCGCGACCCAGACTCGCAGCACTGCTGAGGCGCTACCCACACCAGCAGCTAGTGTGGGTCCCAGGATCGCATACCCTGAGGGCTTTAGCTATACTAAATCCGACTGTCAGCTCACTATGGTCCAGGGTATGCAAAACTTCATCCCTCCTGCGGATCGTCATCGCACCAAGGGTTATACTCAGCAGCACGGGAGTCATGCTGCGATGCTGAAGTTAATGGATGTAAATACTTTGCTGAACAAACATGTTGTTTGTTGTATTGTCTGCAATGGAAGCTAACTAGGAAAGTGTTGTTACAAGCGTTAAGCTACTCGGTAGCTTTGTTCGAGAGCAAGTAGGCAGCTCGTGGACAAAATCGTGAGCTGGCTGAGAGTTGTAAGCGGTTGACCTCAGACAAGGCGAGCTTGGAGGACGAGGTGAACCGCTTACAAAGCTCGGAGATGGCCAATAGGGCTGCATCGGCCGAGAGCCGAGCTGATGAGCTGGCCAACAAAGTTAATCAACTGCAGGAGGAGTTGGATAGAGTTAAGGCTGAAAAGGAGAGTGGGATCCAAGCGGCCATGGATGAGGTCGTTCGCGCGGTTGATCGCACGAAGAAGGCTAAAGCTGAAAGAGACAGCGCTCTGAACGACCTCAACACCTTGAGACGGCGGGTAGCGGTGGCCGATCAGGACCTTGCTCGTGCAAAGGAGGGGCTGAGGAAAGCAAAAACTCAACACCAGCGCTGTATAAGCATCGCGCGAGCTCAAGGCGCGGAGTGGCTAGTGGGTGCTAACATGTTCAAGGATGCCGTGGCTGTGGCTTCCATGAACACCACGATCGAGATTTACAATGACGTTCGTGGTAAGGTGTTAAAGCATCGACCAGACTTTTCGATCAACGAGCTAGCGTTTTTTGAAGGTGAAGAGCTTGATGAAGAGGGGAAGAGCCTTGCTGATCCCGCTGACATGACGGTGCGACTCTGTTGGGAGCTAAACGAAGAAGGAGTGCCTATATGGCCTCCGTCTGTTTTAGAAGAAGGAGAGGAGTTTGAGAACCTACCTAGGTTTGACTCCTAAGTGGGTGACGCTCCTATAGAAGAAGCTGAACCCTCAAGTACTCCCCCCGCACCTCAGCCCGCCTCTACTGCTGCCATCTCCTCCCCAGCTCGTGTTGGCGCATCCATACCCGTTGACTTAACGGATGACTAGATTTAGGTTTTTATGTTTCTTTTGCTTTTGTAGTTTTAGAATTTCCTTATTTAAGACATATTTTGTATCTATGCTGAGACTCATGTAATTCATTTACAAGGAATATAATCTGAATGATTTTTTGAGAACTGTATATATTATTTGCATTGCACTCATACATCATTCAAGTTCTCTAAATATCCATCAATAATACAAATCAACTGTAAAACTTTCTAAGATTCTGAACATTCCATGTAAATGGTAACTGGTGCCCGTGCATATCTGCTAACGTGTAAGATCCAGGTCGGTTAACTTGAACAACCATATATGGACCTTCCCAATTAGGAGCGAGCTTGCCCAAGTGTGAATAAGCGTTGGTCAATCCAGCTTTGCGTAAAACCAGGTCACCAACCTGAAACTGACGAGCTCGGACCCTCTTATTATAGAATTTTGCTACACGGCCTTGATACGCCATATTTCTTATTCGAGACATTTCCCTAACCTCTTCTATAAGGTCTATGTTCTCTCTCAAAAGTTGCTCATTGTTGGGATCGTCACGCTGACCTGCTCGATCAGATGACAATCCGACCTCTACTGGGATGACGGCCTTAGCTCCATAGGCAAGGCTAAACGGAGTTTCGCCTGTGGCCGAGCTGGGTGTAGTGCGACATGACCAAAATACTTTATTGAGCTCATCAACCCAATTAGAACGTGCAGTTAAAACACACGTCTTGAGGCCTCGCAAGACGATTTTATTAGCGGACTCAGCTTGTCTGTTTGACTGTGGAGTATATATAGATGTCAAGGCGAGCTCGATGCCATAGTCGTCACATAATGACCTCAGCGCCGCAGCTCGGAACTGTGGACCATTGTCAGCGATGATCTGTTTAGGTATGCCGAATCTGTACACAGATGACCGAGCTGAGTCTAAAGTTATATTTGCATACGATACCAACGGCTTAAGCCACTAAAGAATACCTGCATAATATTGAATTGAACAGAAATTCTTCTATTTTCCTCTCTGTTGTCATGGACAATGGCTTGGCTTCTATCCATTTGGTGAAGTAGTCCACCGCGACAACCAAGTAGGTGCAACCTTCTTTGCCTTTGACAAAAGGGCCAAGCAGATCCACTCCCCATTGAGCAAAAGGCCAGGGTGATGAAAGTGGTGAGAACATTTCTCCTGTTTCAAGGAAGATATTTAGGCTTAGCTTATGGGCAAAAACGAAGTTTGGGCGCTAGAAGAAGGGCTTGAACCTTTAGAACGAGCTCAGATACCTAGCATGTGAATATCATTAGCATTGAATTGGCAAGTCGGGCACCTTTTGACATAGCTCTGAGCGTCCTCAACCATAGTAGGCCAGTAATAACCATGCCTCAAGAGTTTCTGAGCTAAAGTTTTGCCGCCTATGTGTGTGCCGCATACTCCTTCATGAACTTCTCTCATAGCGTATTCAGCTTCATAAGGAGTGAGGCAGCGCAATAAGGGCATTGAAGCTGCTCATTTGTAGAGCTGATTATCTAACAAAGTGAAATATGCCGCCCTGCATTTAATCAACTTTGCAGCGGACGGGTCTTCCGGCAGCTCGCCACTGTGCAGATATTCTATGAGCGGGGTAGTCCAGCTTGGTGAAAAGGGATCTGTGCTGAGCAACTGAGACTCGATTGTGAAATTGGTGTAGCTCGAGGCATCAAGTACCTCTACAAATGTTGATCTCTGACGGTTAATGTCCTGTGAGGAGGCTAATTTTGACAGCTCGTCAGCTCACTGGTTATCTGCTCTGGGTATCTTGTTGATCTAGAAAGATACGAATCCTAACTTCAATTTGTTGACCACAGAGGCATAACGACCGAGCTGAGGATCTCTGATTTCACAGCTACCATTCACTTGGCCCACAACGAGTTGGGAGTCGCTAAAAACTTGAATGGTTTGTGCTTTCAGCTCCGATGCCAACTTCAAACCATAAATAAGGGCTTCATATTCTGCAGCATTGTTCATTGTCTGAAACTTAAACCTCAATGCATGCTCAGATTTAAAGCCATCTAAGCCCACTAACATAGCCCCAACACCCGATCCTTCAATGCTAGCGACTCCATCCACGTATAAGATCCAGGTTGGGTATTCAGGTGTCCTTTCCTCTGCCGTCGCCGAAAGGCACTCCACCAGGAAGTCCGCTATAGCCTGGCCTTTTATGGTTGTGCACGGCTGAAACCTGAGGTCGTACTCACTCAGCTCGACGCTCCACCGGATAAGCCGACTAGAGAGTTCCAGCTTCTGCAGTATTTTCCTCAATGGCAGATCGGTATAGACAATGATTTGATGCGATTGGAAGTAAGCTCTCAACTTACGAGCTATGTAAACCAGGGCAAAAACAGCCTTTTCTGTTAGTGGGTAGTTCTGCTCGGCGCCTTGTAAAACCTTGCTCACATAGCAGATAGGCTTCTGATTCTTATTCTCTTCCCTGAGCAGAACCGGGCTCACGGCCTCCTCTGATACCCCCAGGTACAAGTACAAATTCTCCCCCTCCACAGGTTTGGAAAGTAGGGGTGCTGATGTCAGATATTGCTTGAGCTCTTCAAACGCCTGCTGGCACTCGTTGGTCCACCAAAAGTTCTTGGGCTCCCGCAGGGCTTTAAAGAACAGGAGGCACATTTCTGCCAACCTGGCTATGAACCTGTGCAACGCGGCTACATGACCTGTCAGACGCTGCACATCTTTTACAGTCTTGGGAGGCTCCATCTACTGAACGGCCTGAACCGTCTTTGGGTTCACCTCGATTCCTTTCTTGGACACCACGTACCCTAGGAATTTCCCTGACTCTACAGCAAACGTGCATTTAAAGGGGTTCAACTTCATTTGTGCTCGGCGCAGGTTCTGAAATGTTTCATTCAAGTAAGCTATATGATCCTCCGCTCGTTTACTGGTGACTATCATGTCGTCCACATATACTTCAATATTCTTGTCGATCTGGAGCTTAAAGACGACTTGCACCAGTTTTTGATATGTGCTCGGTGCAGGTTCTAAAATGTTTCATTCAAGTCAGCTATATGATCCTCCGCTCGTTTACTGGTGACTATCATGTCGTCCACATATACTTCAATATTCTTACCGATCTGGAGCTTAAAGACGACTTGCACCAGTTTCTAATATGTCGCGCCAGCATTTTTCAGGCCAAATGGCATCATGACATAACAAAAGATTGCGTCACCTGCATAAAAAGCTGTTTTCTCCTGATCGTCCAATAGCAACTGAACCTGGTGATAACCCAAGCTGGTGTCAAGAAAACTCATCCGTTCGTGTCCCGCTGCTCGCTCTACTAACTTCTCCACGTTTGGTAAGGGATGAGGGTCTTTGGGACACGCCTCATTTAAATTGGTGAAATCAATACACATCCTCCACTTGCCATTTGGTTTTTTAACGAGCACGGGGTTGGACACCCACTCAGAGTACTCAACTCTCCTGATGAAGCCTGCCTGCAGCAGCTTTTGTATCTCTTCATCTATGGCAGCTTGCTTCTCAAGGCCAAAAAGGCGACGCTTCTGAACCACCGGCCTTATGGTGGGGTTTGTGCAGAGCTTGTGGACTGCTATATCTGCTAGAATGCAGGGCATTTCGTCCATAGACCACGCAAATACATCCTGATTAGTCCTTAAACACTCTAGAAGCTCTGCTCGCTCCTCTTCTGTGAGCCTGGTGCCGATCTTAACTGTTCTTTCTAGTACATCAAGGTTTAGGGGGATTGTCTCCACTGGTTCTACCAGCTCAACCTTCTGCTCGACACCCTCAGGTCGGTGTTCGATATCTGATATGCTCATTATCTGTTGACCGAGCTGGGTGGGCCTGTTATTTTCAAAACCTGCCGGGGTTGCAACGAGCTCAACCTTCTTGAATGTATCTTGATAACAGGTTCTGGCCATCTTCTGGTTCCCCTTAAGCATTCCTACCCCCTGAGAGATGAGGTTGCGAGATCACGGCCCTCAGTTCGCAGAGGGTGGCCCTCCCTAGTATGGTGTTGAAAGCTGATTCCATTTTGACAACCAGAAAGCTAACAGAAGCCATCCTGAAGCGTGGTTCTGAGCCTACATATATGGGGAGAGTAACAACTCCCTCAATTAGGACAGGCAGTTTATCAAACCCATATATGGGCCCTTCGTACTTCTGCAGCAAGCTTAGATTCAGTTGCATCCTTTGAAAACAGCTCCAATATAAGATATCTGGGGAGCTACCAGTATCGATGAACACCTTGTTGACGTTATGATTGCCTATGTGAACGGTTGCCACAAAAGGATCTGCATGAGGCATCATGATGTCGGGCTCTCCTTCTGCTCGCTTGTAGCTGCCGGGCTGAATGTAATAGGTGCATTCTCCCACTCCGCCTCTTTGAACGGCCCCTTCAAAGGCCTGTTCTTGTTAACATTCATCACCTGTCGGGCATATGCCTTACGGCCTCAGGCGCTTTGGCCCCCTGAGTGCATACCACCAGAGATCATGTTGATTGTGCCAGAAAGCGGGGGTATCCCACTGTATCCAACCCCTCTGTGGTCCTTTTGATTCTACGTGGATGCTTTCTGTCCTTGCCCGCACCTATTGAAAGGGCGCCCCTTGTATGCTCTGTTCGGCTCAGATGAGTATTGACCCGCCTGGTAAGGGTTGGGATTGGCACCAATCTGATATCTAGGTGCTTGAGATCGGCCATACTCTTGCACAAAATGGGTCTGGGTGGGTTGTCGAACGTAAGGTTTCTGTACATACCCCTCAAATTTTCCACTACGAGCTAAGAATTCAAGCTCATCCTTCAGGCTCTGACAGTCTTTTGTGATATGGCCGTATCCACGGTGGTAGTCACAATACTTGCTTCTGTCAGCTCGCGAGGAATCATGCATTTGGGGAGGGGGTCTTTTGACCCAATGTTGTATCTGCGCCAATATCTGGGATCTTGGCGAATTCAGGGGAATGTAGCTGTCATACTTCGGGTAGGATGGCTGTTTTCCTCTCTGCTCGCCAACCTTCTGTTTTTTCTTGTCGTCTCTACCCTCAAGTTGCTTGGGCTCTTTACCCTGCCTATCATCAGCTCGTCTCTTGGAAGACTGAAAATCTTCAGATAATATGAAGCTCGCTGACCTGTCATTCACTTCATTCCACGACTTAGGTGGATTTTCCAGCAGGTTGTCTAGAAACCGGCCAGGTTTAAGGCCATGCAGCAAAGCTAATAAGCAGATGGTATCTGGGACATTATCAATGTCTAAAGTAGCCTTATTGAATCGCTGCATGTAGTCCCTCAGGGATTCCCCTTCTTTCTGATGAACCTGCATCAGTTCAGTCGCTGTACGTTTAATCTCCCTTTGGCTTGCAAATTTGTTGGAGAACAGCTTGGCGAGCTGGGCATACGAGTCTATAGAATGTCTGGGAAGTTTATGATACCATCTTCTGGCCGTTGACTTCAGTGTCGCTGGGAATACTTTGCACATCATGGCATTGTTGGCATTTTGAATTCTCATGATGGCCTGATAGGTGTTCAGATGCTCATCTGGGTCGCCGGAACCATCATACGTCTCCAGGTGGGGAATTTTGAATCCTTCTTGGTATGGTTCTGTTGTGATGGATAGGTTTAGTGGGGCACTATCCAAATCAAGGGTCTATTGGTGCGACCTAGGACTTTTCAGCTTGTCAATTGATCTTTGTACATCTCGTAGCTGCCTTTCAAGGTCTGCGTTCTTTTTCAACAGTTCTTCACTATGTTTGGACAAGCTAGGCTCGTTATTTAGCTTCCCACTTCCCCTTGGCTTGGTCGGCACTACTATGTTGCTCAAAGCGGGGGAGTTTTGAGTTGTAACAACCACAGCTGGCTGTGCATCCCTGTTCAACAAAGGAATCAAGGGGTCATCAGGGATCAGGCGAGCAAGGATTTTACCCATTGCCATTTCGAGAACTCTGGTTCTCTCTTCGAGCTCGGTAGTCCGAGCAGGCTCAGTTGACCTTTCAGGTCGTTCATGATGTGGGTTGTGTGATCTGGGATGTCTTTGCCTTGTTCCTGTTGGAATTTGGGACTGCTCAGGCTGAGCTGCATACCCAGTTGGTGTTCTTTCATCATCATCTGTTCCATTCAATTGATCCTATTCTGCCCTCCTACGAAAAGGTTTCTCAGCATTGGTCTAAAATCATTCAAGCCGAGGTCAGATGGTTGTGTGTCCTCCTATTCGTCCATTTCATTTCTTGGAGGGCGACCTCCAGTAAAGGTACGAACCATTTTGTCTTTCTACCGGTTAAACTACACAGCTTCTTGTTCGGATTCCCACAGACGGCGCCAAATATTTGGGCAGCTTCGTAGTCCAACACTGTTGAACTCCTCTACTGCTTTTACACCTGAAAATCCCAAGAATGTTTCCTCAGGGAAAACACTCCGACGCTCAAATCAACAATACTCGATATTCTAGAGAGAAATGCTCTCAACAGAGTAATTGCAGAGAGAGAAGCGTAGAGATTAATTACCTTGTACGAAAGTAGTTGGGGGTATTTATAGCCCCGCGTACTGACACGAGCCTGCATGTGCATGCGTCCCATTGGACCACGTGTCACTGCCCACGTGGGGGTGTCT